ACAAAGGTTGCTAATTCCTTATGGAGTCTCTATTGACTAAGATATCGATTTTATACAGCTCTTAAAGCCAGACATCCCTGTACTTAGGAGCACTTCACTGAATGATCTCTAGGCTTTCCCAGGCCAGGAGGGAGTTATGAACCCTTTTTATAAAAATATCACATTTGCATGCCACTGAAGGGACAATGTGTGTCAGCCTATATCAGCTCTGCAGCAGACTGGCCTTTAGAAATATCAGGGGATTTTCTGATTGAATTGCTTTATGAATGGGCCAATAACCTATGCCATATTAAAATAAATAGAAAAAGCTGTTCAGAATTGACTTATTTGAGCATTTAGCGACTAAGTACGCCATAAAGGTGCTCAGTTTTAATGGTCTCGCTTACTCAAACTTGGAAGCAAACACAGCCCTTTGATGGTACTGATCCGGATCAATCTGTGATGTAACTAAGAGCTGAGAGTAATTGGATAATGGAACCTAAACAGTAGCTAAACTGAAAGATTTAAGGATAGGTGCCATTGCATTGAAGTTCTTAACATCACAAATGTTTTGGTGCTGCTTCTACTTCTGTCAGCTAGAGAGGAAACAATAGCTGAGGTAAAAGTCTCAGAGGGCCAATTGCTTTGGATCAGACAGTAGAGGTAACAGCAACGATCAACGAAATCAGTTGATAAAGCCAACAAAGCGCCTTTACTAAGTCTGAAAAGAGAATGATATATTGCTATGAGAAAGTATTTCTCCCTAAAAGATGTCATACTTAGATTTTTAAAATGAAGGATATCATTGATGGTGAAGACAAAATTTAACCTCAGTATAATGGAAAAGGAAGCCTCCTGTAGCCCTTTTCAAGACTCATAGCAATTCACTTCTTTTTGATTTTTTATTTTGATGTGACTTATTGCTTTTAGAGATTCCGTAAAAATTCAAAAAATATCCACTGGACTTGGTTTTCAAGATTTGAAGACGTTTCGCCACCCCTCCAGGAAGCTTTCTCAATTCAAATGTCTGGATCCGCAGTGCCTGTAGGATCAAGAGATCCCTTAGACATCATGAAGTAGGCTAAAACATCTCTAAAAGCAATATGCTGATGAAGGTTCTCAGTCATCCAGGTCATAGTCATTCCGTAAAAATTCAAAAAATATCCACTGGACTTGGTTTTCAAGATTTGAAGACGTTTCGCCACCCCTCCAGGAAGCTTTCTCAATTCAAATGTCTGGATCCGCAGACATCTCGCTGCCCATGAGTTACCACAACATTTAATTTCCCTTTGTGATTAACAAAGGGAAATTAAATGTTGTGGTAACAAAGTTTGTGATTAACAAAGGGAAATTAAATGTTGTGGTAACTCATGGGCAGCGAGATGCTATAGATTTTGATAGATGTAGGCAAAAAGGATCAGAAATCTATCCCTCCATTCTGGTTCTTTGTGTAAATATTACTGGGCTCTTACTGAATCACACATTAATGGTCAGTATCTCCATTTTCTTGGTTCATTTTCATAACCTGCACCCTTATCTGATAACTGGTTGGCCTGTAGGATCAAAAGATCCCTTAGACACCATGACACAAAGGATTTTTTAGTTTAATTGAATAGATTTTTCAACTCAATAAAAAAATATCACTATTTGAAAATCAACATTTTAATTCACTTAGGTTATTGAGTTCCTATATTAAAATCCGTTTGACCACCAGACATTTAAATGTGACAATAGAGAAAAGAAATCTGCAATAAGAAAGTAATTCATCAGGATCTCAAGAAAATGTTAACTGTCCATTGGTTCAGGGTAATTAGGTAGTTTCTAAGTAAACTGGTCTATCCACGGTGAAAGAGCTATTAATTGTCTCCTTCAATGTGCAAAGTTTGACAAACTGCCAGAGTGCCAGACTTTGCTCTTTGGCCAGAGAAAACCAAAATAGAAAATATCTGGCCATTATTAAAAGTGCTGCAATCCAACCACAGTGGCAGAGGGATGGTTTAGGAAATTTATTTTGATTTCACAGGAGCTGAGCCAATAACAATGAAACCATCCACAAGTTTTCCAGAGTCAAACCTTAAGCCATCTGTCAGACATCTGAGACTTCGTAGAGAGAACAGGGATTGTATTCAAAGCACCGGAGTAATCCAACAGCAGAGTGTCGAACAAATGGAACAAAAAAAATAATAATAATTATGTCTTACAATTTGGCCAGGCCAAATTCTAGGCCACAAGCTGATTGCAAAGCTTTAGGGAGGATGAGAGGCGAATAATTGTGTGAACAAGTGCCACAGATTGCTGTTTAGTGAAGCCTGGATGGAAAAAAACAGTTCCAATTTCTTCTCAAAGTATTAAAAAAATACTTTACTTTTTTTTTTGCTACTGGGGGATTTTGCAAGCTATTGAACAAGGTGTTGATTATAGTTTTTACATTCTGCTTATAAATTTAGTTTTTTATTAGAAAAAAAAAGGAAGAACAAAGAGCTTCAATGATTCTAAATGCCTTTAGGGTCCCTGGTCCTCTGTCCAGCTTCATCTCAATCAGCTTTAAATCCAGACTTTGACTTGACCACAATTAAACCTTTTTGGGGTTGTAATTTAGCCAGTCAGGGTCGGAATTGCTGCGGGGATTCTGATCCTTATTCTGCTGATTTATCCTGAAGTATTTGAGCTTCAGATCTCTAACTGCTAGCATTTTCTGATAAAAAGCTCGATTTTTGGTTCAATCAGTAAGTAGAGCAACACCAGACCACCATGTCTGACTATCAGTACTGTTCTTGAATGCAGCTTTAGTTTTACATCACATGCAAACCTTTTTGAAGCTCCACTTTTGTCTGATCTGCCCACAGAAGGTTGATCCAAATTTTTGCAGGATTATCAGAGTTTTTTTTGTTGTCTCTTTCTTAATACTGAATCCTGCTGAGATAGTTATTGTTTTTCTTTCTCGGGGACCTCCTAAGTGAGTTGTTGATGAGCTGTTTGTGTAATAGACCAGCTCACCTGAAAGGGTTCACCAGTATTCATTGTTTCTCCATTTATAAATCACAAAGGGTTAGGGACAGAGATGGGAAGTAACGAAGTACAAATACTTCGTTACTGTACTCAAGTAGATTTTTCTGATATTTTTACTTTACTTTACTACTTATTTTTATGGCGACTTTTTACTTCTACTCCTTACATTTTTACACAAATATCTGTACTTTCTACTCCTTACATTTTTACACAAATATCTGTACTTTCTACTCCTTACATTTTAAAAACTTGGCTCGTTACTTTAGTTTTGAATCATTTCAATGGAGTTACCGTTATTATTTTTCACGTCATCAATACCAAATTCAATCTAATCTAATCTACGTTGCATTTGACGCACCGCTACAAGATGAATCGACAGATTCGGCGGTATTCATTCGCGGCAAATCATTGCAGCTTGGTGGCGGTGGCGTTAGCATAGTAGCATGGACGACGAGATGATTGAAAATGAACACAATGGAGATCTAGTCCTATTGGCAGACGTCCATTTAAAATGTAGGCAACGGCATGAAAAAAGTGGTTTCTACTTTTACTTTTATACTTTAAGTACATTTACAAGCCTGTACTTTGTTACTTTTAGTTGAGTAAAGAAGTTTAATCAGTACTTCCACTTTTACCAGAGTATTTTTTAACACAATTATCTCTACTTTTACTCAAGTACGGAAAGTGAGTGATCCAAGGGATCCAACTCCATAAGAAATGACTCATGAACCCTTTCCATCATGTTGTTAACCTTTTTCTACATTTATGTAGATTGGGGGTATTATTTTAGCCTACTTCATGCAGTCAGACAGGTTCTACTTAGGTGATGTATTCATTCTATAGTGGATAAATCTTTTACGTCCACACTCACAAAACTATTACACTCAAATTTTTAGTTTTTTCTAATCTTATTACACAACAAATCCTATTTACTTTTTTTGTTGATAATTTTAACTCAAATCTATTAAATAAACCCTAAATAATGCTAATTAGTCAGTTTAATTCAACTTATTTAAAATAGATAAATGTCAGGTTTATGTATTTAGAATTAATAAAGTATAGTTACTCAAAATTTATTCTAATGTGTGTATTTATCATTTTATTATTTAAATTTCATAATAATCAGAGTACCTTTATGCAATCCAAAGATTCAAATGTATCTATTTGAAATAAACACACTCATTAGTAATTATTTTGAGTAAGCATATAGTCTACTAGATGCATAAACCCGATGAATATGTATTTCAAATAAATAAGATTTATTATAAAATAAATATGTATTATTAAGATTCTTTGATAGGTTTTTGTTAAATTCATTTTAAAAAGTAAACAGGAATTAGTTATGTATAAAAAATTACATAAATCGTGAAATTTGGATGAAATTGTTTTGTGTTGAGTATAACATTAGCTGCAGATTAGCTACTGGTTTGAAAATATGTTACTGTGTTATAAATTAAAACCTTATTTGCATTTTTTTTTATATACATATTTACCCAACTACTCTGGCATCACATATAAATGACACAGTGGTTAACCCTAGGTGGGTTATGCTGATCGTGCCTAACCACCATGGGCAGTTCTGGTACAGGGGCCAATGGGGGGGCCAGTGCCCCTATAGAACTGGTCCCTTTACCAAAGACTTAATGCAGAATAAAATAATGATTAATAAATTATGATAACCACAATGGATAAGTGCCTTCGACTAATCTATTTTTTTTTTGAACAATTTTATTTAATTCATTATTTTAAAATTACGTTGTTGCACTTTTAACTTTAGTCATCTTGAGATTCCAAAGCTGAAGATGACTCTTTTGTTCACATAACCAGAAATTACATTTTTGCCATTTTTTCCCCTTTATTTGCCTCATTCTTTTGCTCGGTGCCCCCATAAAAAAAAAACAAAAAACTGCCCACCCTGGTAAATTTAGTCTAGAACCGCCTCTGCCCACCGGGGTCGTTGGAAGCGGATACCCCCTCCTCTCTCCCTCCCTCCCCCCTGCTGTCCACTGAGGACGCAGCCATGCCGCGCTGTGACGCTCCGCAGCCGGGCTGCAGCTGCTGCTGCAGGCGCCTCTCCTCATCCGTCTTCAGCGCCTGACGCACAGGGGATGCGCCATGAGAAACTCCCCGCGCTCCTCACCGGCACCTGGCTGCGAGAGAAGCATGCAGAAAGCGGAGCTCAGCAGCCGCAGATCTTGACTTCATAGACTGTGTTTAGGAAAACAGATAACGGGCTCCTGGCATCTCCAATCACTTTGAGCGGTGCTGGAGTCTGCAGATCTCTGGAAGTAAATGTGAGAGGAACTGGACTCTCTAACAGGTTGTTCAGATATTATTCACTCTAAAAGGTAAGCTCTGATAAATTATGGCTTAATGGGAGAATATGTAAATAACCTATAAAAATCTTTTAAAACATTATTGATCATGTTGTTTTTTTTATTTATTTAAATGTAAGGACCTGTACAGTTCTTGCATAGGGTTCTCATTAAATAGAGGTTGAGTAATTGATCAGCATAAGAGGAAGGAAAGGGAAAATAAAGTAGAATGATTTTTTTAATTAAACAAACATATACTGCACTAATGTGATTATACTGAGGTACAAACCTTCATAATTAGTAAATATGAGCAGATATATTATTCTTATTATAGGAACTGACATACTAAATGTGCAGCAGAAGGAAAGCTCAATGCAGAGCTGATAAATGACTTGATAGTGATAAATGATGGGATGCACTCTGCATCCTAATGAAGACAGATCCACGTAGGTGACTCCCTGCCCCTCACCTTGGCTCAGTCCAGCTCAGCTACTCTAGCTGCCGGGGTCGGAGGTGTCTCTTGACATCATGGGTAAATGTGATCTCATCCCCCCTTTCTCTCCTCCTTTACAGGGGCTCTAGGAGCACAACCAAGGATGCTATTCCCCAGATGGTGACTTCGAAAGGTAAAATCTGCCGGTGCATGAGTGATAACTCTTTTTAATGCATTGTCAAAGTTGCAGTTGAAAGCTGGATACATTGATTAATGTTGTTTTTGTTTTGTCTGCTGCCTTGGGGGTTATGTTTTGGGCTAACCGTGTAATAGAAGGTGCTTCTGCACTCATATCAGCCCAAATCTATACATCTGCTTTTTGCTCTTGGTGTTTCCTATGCTTTAAGTTGTTACTTCAAAACAGAATGATCCATCATAAACTAAACTTTGAGAAATAATAAAAAACTCATTTTAATGTCTAAACAACTAAGATCACTCTAATCTTGCGGGAATTAAAAGATGAGTAATTCAAGGCAAGGAGTTTGAAAATGAATGCTCTCACTTGTCATCAGAGTTTTTTTCTCATTCCTCCTGGATTTGTCCCCCTGTGCTCTGGCAGCAGGTGCTCTGGCAGCAGGTGTATCTGTCCTAGATGTGGAGCTGGATCTGTTCCTCTCCTCACACGCTGACATCAGTGCTCTCAGCGGTGGATGAGGCAGAACAAGGCGAGATTTTACTACCTGGCTAAATTGCCCCAGTGATGGAAAAATATTGTTCAAGGAACAAAGCTTGAATAATTGAAAGCTGCAGGATTTAAATTTTGCAGGGCTTCAATGTGATTTCCAGTAAAGAAGTTGGCCACCTTAACAAAATATTCATATCATTTAGGGATGGATATATCAGGTACTGCCGTCGCCTCTTGCTCTCGTAGTCATGCTCTATGTTCTCGTCATCCCGTCTGTCATTGGTTGTAAAATCCTTTCTTTTGAAAGGAACTAACTGGGATTTCATCAATATTTTTTAGGCATAGAGTATTTACTTAGAACTTCAAAACAATAATGTTAAGCCATTCTTTAAAATAGAAAAGCAACAATTATTCCACCATGCCTGCTAGAGTAATACATAGATCATAGTTTTAAAGAAAAATACAATGTGTCCGCTCTGTTGTTTGGACTGTGATGAACGCAGTGAGGCAAACAGCTTAAAAGTAGGGAAAACAAAATTGTGAGAAAATAAATAATTGGAAAACTTTTTTCCTTGTCATATAAATGTATTTATTGTCTCCCTTACTCCCCTCCCCCCTGCCCTCTCTTCCTTAAATCCTTCCCTTTGTCATTCTTTAATTCTATCCTCTGTCCTTTTTCCCTTTATTCCTTCTCTTTATTGTTTTCTCTCTTCTTTTTATCCCCTGTTATTTTTTGGCCCTCCACATTGCTTATGTCATTCCCAGTACGCTCACTTCCTTCCTATCACCGCTCCATTTGTCCTCCCGTACCTTCCTCCCAGTGTACCTGTTCTGATTTTGCTTCATTTTATGTGTCCTTTTTATGTCCTTCCTTATTTTCTTTCTTCCTTCCATCAAGAAAGGAAGCAGTCTAAGCTCCCTTTAAACCAGGCATGCCCAAAGTCGGTCCTCAAGGGCCTCTTTCCTGCAGGTTTTAGAGGTTTCTCGGCTCCAGCACAGCTGATTTTAATTCAAAGCTGATTAACTGGCTTTTGCTCAAATGCAATCATCATAATCAGCTTTGCTAAAGCAGGGAAACCTCTAAAACCTGCAGGACAACTACCCTTGAGGGCTGCCTGCCTTAAACACTAGAGCTAAGAGCGCTAAAAGTTATTGTTAAGCAGCAAAACATATATGAAACTACCTGCTCAGACATATTATTGGTTTTCATCTATAGGGGTCAATGTTCTGTCTTGCTATTAACTCCACGACTTCTTAATCTCCTGGTCGGATCACAGTGGTTAGAGGGAGAATTGCTCCTTCCAAATTGTAGCTCCTACCTCTTGTTTGTTGCTCCTATCCCTTCAACTTCATCTTATAAATAAATACATAAAAAATAAAATACATATTCTAAAATAAGCATGCACAAAGAACTATGTTAATCTGCAAGCAAATCTAGACATAAATCCAGAGAGAAGCAGTTTACTTATGCCAGACGTCCACACTGGCAGTTTAGTCTTTTCTTTCAGACTTTTAAAATCTTTTTGGTAAATTATTACATTTTAACCATAAGGCAACTAAAGGTTTTAATTCATATTCCAATTTCAACCTTTTTATATGTAAATGACCCCTTTGTAGAGATACCCTGTATACAGCTTTTTTCCTTACTGGTCTATATACTTTTGCTAGTGAACTTCTGAAATCCATACACAACAAAGTTTACACCAGAAGTTATGGACATTTCTTCTTCTACTACATATTATATGTGGGGAATAAGAGAGACGTAAAGGTGCATTACACTGAACACAAACACAGCAAATGTTCCTCATGGGTTGCCTGTCATTGATAGCTCGACATTTTGCTTTTCCACACAATCCGTATGGACAACAGCAACAGCGCTGTGAAATTATGCCCAGCTCAATTAAACCGCCTCAGTAAATAGCGGGAGCCTCTATCTGCTTGCTGGTTCCTGTTGTCAGTTCAATTAAACTTGGCTGATCACGATTTTATCTAGTGGGTCGTCAGCAACAGACCAATCAACGATAACAATTTGTCCTGAAGTGAAAATGTCCTCCCCTGCAGGAGCAGCTGGTCTTTGTCAACTTTACCAGAATTTTGTATAGGTAGACATGGCAGATGTTTGAATATGATAGATAGTAATTTGTATTTATTTGTTTTGTCTGTAAAATAAAAAAAGTTTATTACTGATTTTGAGTCATTGATAAAGTTGGGTAGTCTTCACCTTTGAAAAATGAAAAAACCTGGGGAATATTAATAAAATATTAATAAAAGAGGAAAAAGTAGGAAGTATATATTTACATGAGAATATTGTTTAAAAAAACATCTAACAAAAGACTAAATGTTCTTAGTAGGGAACATGTTATTTAGACACAAAGTATCTATGGGAAGGAGCACAATTCTTATATTCCCAAAACAGAAAAAGGAGCCGTAAAAATTATAAAAGATAAATAGGCCTGCTGTGAGCAACTGAACATGACATTAATCAACCAAAGCTACTGGTGGTTAATTTGTACAAACAGATCTTTTTTGTCATAATTTCAGTGTTTGCTTCATGATTAGCACAGAAACAGCTTATGTTGCCAAATTAATTATGAATGTGTGTTTGGAAACAAACTGCATCCACGGCAATGTGCCCTGCTGATCATACATGTAATAAAACATGTTTCCGTTTCCCCCCTTCTTGTTTATATTCACACACCCACCTTTATAGCCCCAAAAGGTGTCAGAGCCAGTCTGATTGTGTCTTTATTATTTTCCCTACATCTGTGGAAAGTCACGGCTTTTATGTTTTTTTTTTACTGCTTCAAAAATCTTCACTGAATTGATGTAGAAATAAAAAAGCTGCCTGTTTTCTTTCCCCTCTAAGTTTGTTGTTAAGTTAGAAAGGCCTCATTAAATACCTCAGGTAATCTTGCATGTCACTATGTCGCTGTTAAAAGTATTCTAGTTTGTTTGAGTAATCTTTTATTTGGCATAAATCTGCATCATATGCATTGATTGGAACATGTCCTTAACATAACAGACAATTAATTGTCTCCTGAATGCTACTTAACAAAGGGATTACATGAAAATCACTTCCTCCAACTGCACTATTCAGATTCATTGTTGAAGCATTCAAAGGAACTGGCGGTACAGCTGCTGCTGTACAGGACTCTTGCTTTTTTCAGCCAGCTAACTGGCAGTCTGCAGCAACATGTGGGATAAGACATTAGTAAAAAGGATTGTTTTCCTTTGTGGTTTTATACTGTGTTGTTTTAAAGGTGACAATGTTTTTGTTTTCTCATATATTTTTTGAGATATCTTATATGTTAGTAGTTTCTGTATTTTTAGTCTCTTTACAGCAAGGTTAGTAGAGATGACACAGTTCTCATCTAATAAGCTGATATATTTTTTCTTTCTGCTTTCCTATTTTTTACTAGAATGTTGTCATATCCCAGTGCATATTCGAGTTTTCCAATTAAATGGTTTATTTTGAAGCTCCTCTAATTTGCATGGCTCATTCAGGGACCATCTGGGAGAAGAACCCTCCTAATTTCAGAGCCCAAATCAACATCCCACATAAAGCATATGAGAGAGGCCATGTTCTTTTTTTCTTTTTTTCTTCTTCTACCCCCTCACTGTTTGATTCATTTGTGTTTGTGTGTGAGAGCTTCATGTGAGGCATTGTGAATGCAGCTGACTGCTGCAAGGATTGTTTCATTTCCCACAGAGAAAACGAATTAAATTATGACACCTTTCTCTGCTGCCTCTCATCTGCAGCTTTTCACTCTGTCGAGAGATGACAAAGCCGCTAAATATAGGACCACAAGTGGAGTGTGAAACCTCTCCACCTCACTTTGCGTTTATGTGGGTATATGGCAGGTTATCACAAAAACAAGAGGTTTCTATGATAATCTGGACAAAGGTTTAATCATCTCTCAAAGCAATGCGGTGTGCGTTTTTGGAGTAAAAAAAGATGTTAATAGTTTCATGTAAGTATATTTACTTTTGTTCAGTGCACACAGAGGACTGTAAAAAATAAAACCAACAGAAATGTTGACAGAGATGGATTTTTTTAATATCAGGAGTGTCTTATTAAAAACAAAGTCATACACAAAAAGTACTCTGTTTGGTAACTCGGAAAAACTCTTATTTGCAGTAATGATCTAGAAAAAAGTTGGAATGCTTCATTGTTTCAAATAGTAATTATACCCTCATTAAACAGTGAATGAATTGAATTTGTCTACTGTAAGACAAACCCAGGGAGCCAGAGATGTTTCCATACTACCTTTAATTATTCCAAAGGGCACTAGACGTTTGTTCAATTGATGTTCTATTCACTTTTTTTTTTTTATAAATTATTGAGTACTTAATTAAACTTTAAAGGGCAATACTTTTTTGCATAAGAAAGCAGAACAATTCTTTATGCTTTTTCTGTGAAGAAAATGCAATTTGTCCCCCTTACAGACTCCCTTTCCTCTATATATGCTTTTCTTTTTGCTTACGCTTACATGTTTCAGTTAGATAAC